GCACGCACGCACGCACGCATGCACGCACGCACGCACGCACACACACACACATACACACACACACACACACACACAGGGATTTCAGACAATACACTCACACACACGCAGGGGGGGGAGAGGATTTCAGACAACACACACCCACATGCACACGCACACACAGGGGGATTTCAGACAACACACACACATCAGGCAATTTCTATACTGATCAGACCCCCCAAGACTAAATAACCTATGAACTTTCAGTATTCATAACAAACAGCAAAAGTTCCGTTCTGACCTCTGGAATAGCTGGGCCGATGTGCTGTGGAGCGGAACTGCTGACTGGACGGATTTCTTTACTGAGTGGAGCCATTGATACCAACAGACTGAAATTTAAATACAAAGTAACAAGAATTGATGACGACACGCTGAACTAAACAAGAGGCTTGTTGTTTATAACTCACAATAAAAGATTTAATTTTTGTCTAAGTAAGGATTTTAGAGCACTTGCAACACAAATGGGTCATATAAGTGCAAGAGATTAGAGGCGTTACAAGAGAGCAACATACAAGGAAAATTTAGTTTTAGTAAGAGTTTTACGGCACTTGCAACACAATAAGGTCATATAAGTGCCGAAGATTAGAGGTTACAAGAGAGTAACAGACACAAAAAAGAAGGAGGAGAGATAAGGATGATAGACGTTTGATAGGAAAGAAGGAGGAAACCACACCAGAGCACCCACCAACCACTCACATACAAGGAAAAGGAGGAGGAGAGATAGTTGTAGTTTTAGTAAAAGTTTTACGGCACTTGCAACACAAATGGGTCATATAAGTGCCAGGGATAAGAGAGTAACATACAAAGAACAGGAGGAGGGATAAGGACAATAGACGTTTGACAGGAATGAAGGAGCAAACCACACCACAGCACCCACCAACCATCCACACACAATACAAGAAGTTGTGTTGAGCAGAAGCTTGTTGACAATACAACAGTAAAACGGTGAAAGGCGAGAGACAAAAAGAGAGACAGAGAGGGGAAGTAAAACGCAGGACTGACTTATGCCTGGCACATTTTACAAGTCATGAGGTGACTTTGTTCGTTAGACTGAGCTCTCTCCCTGCCTTTTAACACATACAAACACATATATGCAAACACACCCTCCCATACACACTCACACACCAACTAACACACAAACACACATACATGTAATGAAACATTCACACACACACAAACATACCCTCCCACATACACCCCCTCCCCCTCTACAGACACCCATCCACCCATAAACACCCC